CAGTTAAATTGGAATGATGTCCGGCGACCTACAAGTTGGTCGTTGAGAAAGTGGTGCTGTATTTTATGAAACAAGATCTGTTCACTGGGATTTTTGAGATGCAATAATTTTTCTATTTGAAAAATTAACTCTTAAACTTAACTTAAAAAACGGATTAATTTGACGAAAAGCTGGTGGCTTTCAAAACGATTAGTTAAATCTATTGCTTTAGGTGTCCTTATCTAACAGTGGTAACTGACAAATCAATTTTAGATATAACCTTTTCTAAATCAAATTGTCCTGAAAAATGAGTTTCTTAACATATGCATGTGCCGGTTTGGATTATGCATGTGGATTCAAAGCAAACAAACCTCAGGTTCTTCTTTGCCACTTTTGCTTCTTGAAGAACTCTCACCTGAAACCAATGCAAAGTAGAGGACATGGCGCATTCAAGATTGTTTATATCATAATGAAAGTAGTTCATAACGAACGAAGTGGTATAAATATGGTACTAAATATTTAAAGGAACTAGGCTCGAGTTCCACGTTACGAATCGTTAAGAGTAACGGGCTTAGGTCCAAGCAAAAATGGAACGCCCGTTCTGTTCGTAAATACCGAAAAAGTAAACCACCACTACTGTGAAGCGAAACTCGGTAGAGGGAAATCCGTGATCACTGTCAAACTAATTAGTTACACGACATAAGTTAAAATACTTAAGGTAGATTGGTAGTGGACTTGTTTAGAGAGAAAGCAAACGAGAGTGAACCTCTATTTTAGATATAAAGAGCACATAGTCTGACTGTGTATTTTAACCTGAAAAGAACTGGTGACAAGAACGCCACGGCTGTCGTTTTACCACCGTGCCCTTCAGTGTTCCCAACCAACCAGTTACAGGGGGAAAAATTTATAAATAGCAGAACAAAAACCAACCGTTTACCTTGGAATGTTTTGATGTTCATCATCCTAAGAATGGTGAATTTCACCGAAAATTCACAAAGTGATACAAGATATACATAATGTCGAACAAATTTGTTTTACTACCTTTTTTCTCCAGTAAATGCCGGTGAACATGAATAATAGACGTCAAAACCAGTTTATTGATCTAATGTATTGAATATGTGTGTTATTCAAGTAATAACCAAAATTCAGGGAAGGATATAGGCACGGTGGTTTACCAATGACTTCACACTCAATGCATTTACAATTTTAATTATGAATTCTGTAGGCGTAAAGCCTACATTCTAGTTTAAAGTGTACACATTAGAGACGTGAGATAAAAATTAAGTCCCGAAAATTTTACCAAAACCTGTTCTTTGTTAATCGAAGTACTTGATAAACAGGGTACCGCAAAGTTAAGATATGTTTATTTAAAGGAAATACAACGATATCGAGATCTAATGGATGGGAACGGACGTGAGCAAAAACACTTCCGATCGTAGTGTGTGACAGACCATGCAGCACAGCACTTTTTGTTAATTATCCGTTCCTTTGAGTTTTCGGATATCTACTCTCATTGAGTAGGCTACGATTTGAAAGTCTAAACGGTTCTTACTCATTTCTCGCCAGCGAAGGCCAAACATCAGGCTGGCTCAGCTTTGCTTCTCAGAGCTAGTTCTTCGTGTATGCTGTGAGAGAAAAGGGCTCTATCGTGAGAACAGGTCAAGAAAAGGATATTTCGATGCATTTAAATCATTTGACAGCGAATTTTGGTTGTATATTTGAACTTAAAATCTGTCAAAGTCATTATCACTCTGATGATTCAGTAACCCTGATGGAACAGAAGCGTCAAATCCTACACACCCTGTTGAGTGCATAAAGCTTGACTGCACTAAAAGTAAAATCTTGAAAAATCATCGCGAAAACCGATGACCGAAGTAACAAGTGAAATGGAAGTAGAAGTTAATTTCGGGAATAATCACGGATTTTCAAGCTACATCTCACTCGGTGGACGCATCACGGATGAAGTGTCAGCTCGCATACAGAATCCTCGGTTGGCATTTGCCAACTTGAGAAATCACTCAGAAGACAGAAGGAACGATCGTACAAATCTAGAGACTCAGCGGCTGTCAAACATTACACTGACTTGATTAAAGCTGAAATCAAACGCCTCTCTGTTTTGTACGCCTCCTAGCTTCTGCTATGTAACAACAGTAAGCAAATTTGGCAAGGTATCAAATTGATGTGTGGGACCAAATCCAAAACGTCGGACTGTACAACGGATTTGGACAGTGTTAATGCAGCATTTATCCACCCATCAAGCAATGCGATCAAACCATTTGTTCTGGACGATGCCGTTCAAGTAGAGGCCGTCTCGAAAGAAGAAACTCTTGAGCTCTTGCGTACCGTGAAAACCACTTGCAGTGTTGGTCCCGATGGTCTTTCATCTTCCCTTCTGAAATATGGAGCCTATTCTCTCAGTGAAATATTCACATCATTTTTGAACAATTCCTTAAA